TGTATATATATATTACTATTCACTTGTTGCTCTGGGAAGCGCAGCTGAAGAAGAGCGCCTGCGCAGAAAGCGAAACTTGTCATAAGCAGGACAACAGTTGATGCTTCTTTGACGAAATACTAAAGCAGATTCAATATTAATTTATTATGATTTTTACATTATCTACATATGCACTCGAATGAAAATGGATTTAAAAATAAGTGTTTTTTATTTATTTGGTTGAATTAAAAATAAGGAACTAACACACATTTACAACAACTATTATCGTCATACACTATTATATTTTAATGTTAAGAGCAGTCAATTAAAAAAAATTGCGTTTAAACTTCCATTGCTCATAGGCATAAACGAAAAATAGCATTTCTACACTTATGACATACCTAATGTGTCATATTCGTGGTCTACAAGAAAAGTCAACTTTTGCCAGATTTGCGTTGCTACTCGCAGGTTAGATTAAAAGTCAGATTGTCCTGAAAATTGCAGTTAAATTCCTCTAGTAAAAAATCAGTGTAGTAGTAGCCTTGAGTTTCTTGCCAATTTGATGATGAGTTTGTGGAGTGCCTTTTGGACGCGCATGCACTGGATACGCTATAACGCACATCCAAGCAAGCGCTTGGCACAGCGAGGTTCTCCTGATCCCGATCGTGATTTGAAATGTGTCGAACATGGTCTGCAATTCTCAATGTTTCTGACAATGCCCAAATATAATTGTGCGCGAATCTCAAAGTCTCGATTTTAGTCAGTTTTGCGTCATCGGGAAAAGTTGGAAGCACACTTCTCAGAGTATCCAGGGCGGAGTTCAGATTATGCATGCGGTGCCTTTCTCTGTCGTTTGCCTTCACTCTGCGATTCCCACGTTGTCTGCTTGCTGATTTAACTGGCATCTTTTTCTTTATTCGTTTATTTCTTGTGCTCTCTTCGTTGAAGGTAGATGCGCATTCTTTAGTCGCTGAGTCTATGCTGCCAAGCTCTAATTCTCTGTTGCATTTGATTTTTTGGCACTTGGTAATGTCTATGGATCCAGACTTGACATCTAATGCTGAACTCCAGTTATATTTAAAGGTCCCATTCCTTCCTACCGAAGTGCACGTGGATCTTGGAGTCATTCTGTACATAAAAACATAACAGGACATCTTCAGCCCAAGGTCTTGGATAACAACCTATAAAAAACCTATCATCTATCATAATTCAGATGCTTACCTCTTGGCTTGCAGACTGGCTCAGTGAAACCGAGGTTCCGTGAGGGTGTACAGCACTGTGCGTCCTGTCCACCAGTGAGCAACATGCAGTCTCTTATTCATTCCCTTGATATATAAATCAAAGGGACAATAGAGGGAGATGCGCCCAATCGTCATTTATGTCCCTTTATCCTATCTGCGCTCTAGGGCAAACAAATGGAGTCAAGTGGCCAATCAGAGACGGCCCTTTCAGAAATTTACCTTCGGCTTTAAGAAATAAACTAAGAGAAGATTTTAAAAACAGGGTAGAATATGTCAGGTGAAGTTTTCCGTTGTTGTTTTTATATTATAGCCTAGCAATCATGCATTCATCTAATCTATAATAATTAAAACCATTTCATCAAGAGAAACATCTTATTAAAAATATAGTGGCTTATAAGCCTTTATTTTGCAAAATGAATTCTATGATTCATCTTTATCGAATTATAATAATTGTACTGTATATGCATGACGTTTTCTCAAACATCAACTTCTGGGTGATAGAAAAAGTTCACGGATCTGTAGCAGGAATAGTCTTATGTTATTTGCATTGACACAGTAATCATGCAGGAATTGAACATACATAATGTACATTTTATTGGCAGTTAACATGACAGTTTCAACAAGAAATTTTCATTATTAGAAACTGAAAAGAATTATTGATAAACAATATTATTTTAGTGTCATTGCCGTTGTGCGCTTTGTGGCGATGTTCCTGTGCGTAAATTGTGCGGTAGTGCACAAAACACTGGGAAAATAATATTTAATCGAAGAAAATGGGGAATAACTTGAATTTGTGTGCAGCAGCAGTTTCATAGTACAATAAAAACACAGAATATTATGCACAAAAACATTTGCATAGAAAATAAAATGCGTGCGCACTGGTGTCTCCAAACGGAGTCCGTTATTAAGAACATCAAGTGCGCGTTGTAAATATGGTCGCGGTTGCAAACAAAAGACTTTCAACATGGTGGGATAGCACGAGTTTACACTTGCCTCCAAGTCTTGATAAATCTTCACTTATTGGAGAGACCAAGAGCACTGTTATGGGCGCAAAATATTTACCGTGGTGCCCGAGTGTCCACAAAGGTACTCATCGCCAGTGTAACTAAATATGTATTTTGTAGGACATCTGATAACCATATGCTTTCAATAAAATGGACAAATAAAGCAAGGAGATAGGGAATGTTGTCGTGCTGTTATAAAGGCCTCGAAATAATCCAAAGTAAACCAAATATTACCGCTTTACAAATAACTTTTGATGCCAGATCCATATTGGGATATCGCGGGACAGGTGTGGGTTTGGGACTGTCAGATTTGTCCCCAGATTTTTTATCAGTGCCTAGTAATATCTTGCTTGTTATGCAAAGTCTGGGCAAACATAGGCGACCTGTTGCTGTGGAAATCATAGATATCGCAAAGAACCTGATTTAACAATAAATGCGTCTTACTGAAGAGCAGGTGATACCTGGCCTCGCTGTCTTGACTGATACTTCTTCAACTGCTGCACTTTACAATCTGTTGCAATTATTTATGAAACGAAATCTATTTCTTATTATTTTAGCAAACAGAAGTACCAGGTGGGGCTTTATTTTCATCCCCAGCCTTTGTTTGAAGGGCATCTGAAGAAGGCAATCAAGGACTAAAACTCGCTGACCAGCTTTTTGCCATCCATTTGTCCCAAACTGGCAGAAAAGCTATTTAATTCTTCTCTCTTGTTCAGACGCGGAAAAGGCTGCACATAAAGAAGAAAAGAAAACTTCACTGCGAAGACAAAAACAACAACTTAAAAACATTTAATTACGGATGCCATATGTACACCTCTTGTTAAAACTCAAACAATGTCAACTCATTTGTGTGGTAAAACGTGCACCTTTGGAGACGTGTGCGCTTTTGGAACGGTGTGCGCACCGGGACCAGAAAGATCTTGAGTACACTTCTTGGAAGAAGTAATGCAGTTTTAATGTGCTGTTGAGGTTCCTTTTAGAGTCCACCCATTGTGCTAAAACGCATATGCTTTTTATGACCGAATACACCAATTATAATTGAATAGCCTAGAGCTTCTTGCTAAAACTCTATTTGGTTTGAGCAATCGGGGGGTCAACTTCAATAATTAAGCTTTGGTGCTGCTCTGAATGCCTGGGTTCAACTGCAGCTTTTCTCTACATAGTGCCCACATTCAGTGGCGCACACAGACTTGAATCGAATTTATCTTTCTAACTTGCCAGTTTTGGGTGTGGAAAAGTCATTATTTTCTTGGGAATGAGGAAAATAGAGGGGACAAAATAGTAAGAGTTATAAATAATTTTGATAAACTATAGCTATTAACACTTAAATAAATTTGCAGGATTATTTAAAAAAAAAAACATGTCTAAATGTAGCCATTTTTTCCATTTTGGAATGCACTTTTATGTCTCAGGGGTTTATTGTTTTCAACTTTTTTTTTTTTTTTTTGCTCTTTGAAGGTGACATTGAAATTGTCTCAGAAACGTTTACCATGCCTTCATCGTTTATTTTCGATACTTTTCAAATGCATTTCTGTTTATGTTGTTTTATCCTTGTCCCAGACCAAATTTTTTAAATTATTAAAATATTAGGATTTTTCATCATTTAGTGTATAGCCTATAATTGGTTACAAGGAGAGCCTATAATTGGTGACAAGGAGACAACAATGTCAGTAAAATGGCATTGGAGGGGAAACTTGACAAAATTACAGAACTCCCACGTGATATACGTGTATACACTCTTTGACATTTATCTGGTACATTTAATAAATTAGTTAAAGTGTGGAAAATATTTTTAAACGAGTTCATTTTCTGACCACATAATAAACACCAATATTTTACAAAGTAGTTTTAAATTAGCCCAAATCCGTGTTATTATTTTGAAGAAGAAAAGATAAAAAATCAAAACAAAACAAATGTAATGAGATGATTTATTTGTTTGCTTTTTACAATCACACACAACAAGTATTTAACACAACGTTACATATTATAGTTATAAAAGTGTTTTTAAGCAAAGAAACCTAATGTTACTGTTCGTGTAGGCCTACTCACGAACATGAATGTAAATGTTCACTCTATATAAGAGAACATACTATAAAGGCAGTTGAAACAATACAATAATATGAGCATTTTACCAAAATACGTCTGTCCTTCAAAAACTAATAGCGCCATCAAGTGACCGTGCAAAGCACTGCCTGTTCAACTATGAAGTATAAAACCAACACAAAAAGAAAACACCAGTGCAGCCCAACAACTCAGTAAATCATTTACTGTAAAAAAATAAAATAAAAAAATATATAATTTACTGTAAATAGCCTATGATAAAATGTTTTTAATGCATTGAATATGAATCAAGATTTCTATGTTGCCCCTTCTTTACCAGTTAAAAAATCTTAATTGTGGGGCTTTCTGATTCTTAAAACTTATAATTTTTATCAAATGAAAATATAGGCTACATAAATAATTAAATATGCATCAACAACAACAACAGTAATAATCCATAATAATAATAATAATAATAATAATAATAATAATATTAATAATAATAATAACAATAATACCATAAACTTCGAACTATCGCACAAAATTTATCAAAAAATAAACTTTATACTGACCTCCCTGAAAAATATCATGTAACTGTGGCGAATCTGCGAATCGTCAGGACGTTGTGAGGTTCACATGTACTAACAGCATGCGTGCTGGACTAATCGCTGTGATGAAGGACGCTTGCAGTGTTTGAAGATCAGCGAACGCGGCGACACGCCTGAACGCAAATCGCGTCCCCTTTTACTCACACGGCACTTCCTGCTCTGATTGTGTCATGCAACGGGGCATTCGTTCTCACAACAAGCCGAACAAAGATATTTCTGGCTGTCTTCCCCGTTTCTCCCAGAGCTGTTGAAGAAACGACTTTTTCAGACAAGGTGTAACCTTGGCAAACAAAATGGACTACAGGGTGAGTGGGAATAATGTCAATTAGAAATCAGCTGTGCTTTAAATATAGTATGCTCCAGTTATCCAAACATGATGTAATTATGTCACAATGAAAGCTTCGACTGTACAAAGAAAGCATATTGTATTTTGTTACTTTGTTTTGTTAGTCAACATACTTCATTTACACTGTATGTTTCAGTGTATCAGACCTATAAGCGATACTTTGATCTGATATAACATTTTTCCCGTGCAGTGCTGGGAATTCAGGTGATTTTATCGTCTAGAAAGATGATTATCCATTTGAAGTGTAATTTATTAGAGACAAATGTCTTACTGGTTACAGGGAAATAAACAATATCTGTTTATGATCATGTCCTGCTATGTCAAATTTTGTGTAGCCTATGTCTTCTGTAATGTGTAAAATAGACTTTAAAGTGATATAGGTGAGAGCTATTATAAAACAGTTTTTCCTTCATGTAATTCTCTGTAATATTCGTTCATTTGTGTGCAACAACCAGGTGCAGAGAGGGAAATTTTATGTTTCATTGTGTATGTGTTCATCAGAAGATTTCCTGTGACAGGCTCAAACACAGAGGAAGTGCTATTCTTAACAATGGGACCAGATCTGTTTTGACTGCTGTCCAGCAACATCTGTTCAGACTGTGTTTTGGCTAGTCCAGGGGTGCCCAAGCTCAGTCCTGGAGGGCCGGTGTCCTGCAGAGTTTAGCTCCAACCCCAATTAAACACACCTGAACTAACTAATCAAGCTCTTACTAGACATACTAGAAACTTTGTAGCAGGTGTGTTGAGGCAAGTTGGAGCTAAACTCTGCAGGACACCGACCCTCCAGGACCGAGTTTGGGCACCCCTGGGCTAGTCTGATGCTCATGTGATGTGCTGAGAGATTTAATGTGTGTGAATGAATTATTAAAGAGATAGTTCACCCAAAAATTAAAATAAAAAGTCATTGTATACTCACCCTTATGTCATTCCAAACCTACAGGACTTTATTTCTTCTGTGGAACTCAGAAAGGATATTTTAGAAGGAATGAAAGCCTCAGTCACAGTTCACTTTTACTGTGACTTGGATGACTTTTTAATTATATCCAGTACAACATATTTCTTTAATATACACTATAGTTCAAAACTTTGGGGTCAGTAAGATTTTTATAATTTTTTTTAATTTTATGCATTTAAGTCTCAGAATGCATGTATTTGATCAAAAATACAGTAAAAATTATGAATTGTTATTACAATTTAAAAGAACTGTTTTCTATTTGACTATATTTTCAAATGTAATTTATTCCTGTGATGGCAAAGCTAAATTTTCAGCACCCATTGCTCCAGTCTTCAGTGGGGTTTTTTTGTACAAGCTGTGATACATTTTGTTAGTTGTTTTTTTTTTCAGAATTATTAGATGAATAGAAAATTCAAAAGAACAGCATTTATTTAAAATGGATTTTTTTTTTAAATTATAAACTGATCAGTTTAAAGCATATTTTGCTGAATAAATGTATTAATTTCTTTAAAAAAAATGACCCCAAACATTTGAATAGTAGTGGACAAATACATTGATAAAAGGAGTTGTATATACTATTAGCTGTTTAGATCAAAATCACACCAACAGTTGTATTTACTAAAACCTTTATCATAGTCACATGTTACAGGATGCATTACTGTAGATCTTAAGAGTTTTAAAAGATGGACTGAGCTGCTATAGCACTTCCTGTCTGATCTTGCTTTAGACATCTGAACATTTCCATTGGAAACTTGAGCTCTTTGACTCAACAATGGACAAATAATCAAAGCTCAGCTAGAGAGGGTGTGATTGTATCCAGTACACTAGTAGCTGAAAGCAAGCAGTTTGAGGTGACATCCTATTTTCTAGAAACTTACCACCACAGTCATGTTATCTGTCAGAAGTAACTGTTTAGAAGATGTGTTTTACAACATAGCAGACGTGCACTGCACTTCTGTTAATCTCTTTTGCAATGTGTCTCTTTTCTTGCCTTTTGCCCCTTTCACAAGATATCATAATCTCAGCATTTTATGGCACGTTATGCACTGAGAAGCTGTCTGTAGATCTTGTTACATAAGACTGATAGGGATGCTGTCTTTAAAGATCTCACTTCAGCGCAGTCGTGTTCCACATTTCACACTGTTGTTATATTTGGATCCTGAACATGTGATGCACCTCCGTTCTGGTCAAAGTTTCACTTGCTCGCTCACATGACCTGTTTACCTGCTCCTCTGAATCTGCTGTATTTGGCAAACCCTGCTAAACCTGTTGGAGAGCTTGTCATGGACTTAGAACTCCATTTAGGGGGTGTTGCTCCGGCCTGATTCATTCATTATCTCCTTAACAAAACGATTGAAAATGAATACCTCTTAAGTTTGTTTAATTCATCTAGTAATCTAATTACACCTCATTTATTGTGCTACATTCAAGATAACGTAAGGTTCTTAGCATAACTAGTGCTTTGTACATGCTCAAATTAAACAAAATGCTAATTATAGCTTTTAGTCAGGCTTTTGAAGGCGAAATGAGAAGCTCATTCATTGTAGATGACGAGGAGTTGACATGCTCACGAATATGGTTAGCTAAGACTTTGTTCAGCTGACCTCCAGATTTCCTGTGTGCTGTTATGGGGATGCTATTGGGACACAATCTGCGCTGTTATCATCAAAACCACATTGTGCTGTAAAAAAATTGTGATTGTGAAATGCATCTACCAGATATGCATTTTACTGCCTTTTTAAATGACACAAACTAACTATTTATAAATATGGACTTCAGTATAGACTTGAATTAGTATTTTTTTTTTTTTAAGGAATGTTTTTTTGCACCCATATCCTTAGAAGCCCATTTTAAGTCTAAGCTGGTAGCCTTTTAGTTTTGTATGGCCAGTTTTTTTTCTCATAATGAATAAGGTGTGGCCAGTAGGAACAATATCTCATTGAGTGAAATGGTTATCTACTAAGCTCTCCTTGTTTCTTGTGGCTGAAGTTAGACATACTGCAGCTTCCACAGTTTACAGTGGCATTAGTGAATCCAAGCTCCTGAGACAATTAGTATGACTCAGTCTGCTATAGTAAGTATTTAATTGTGATTTTGAATGTATTTTATTGAGATTTTAATTTGCTACTAGCTGTCTTTATGCTAATCTGGGCCAACATTTTTGTACTTATTTTTCAAATAGAGCCTACCCCTAAAGAATTTAAGTAGTAGGGTGTTTGTTGAATCTTCTGTCAGTGCTTGTTGATTGATTTATGTGGCTTGTAATGGCAGTTAAGCAGCCAGTTCTTGGTTTCTATATGTTGGTTTCTGCTTAAGTTTTCCAGAAATGAGAAATTAGATTGGGTTTATTTCTGTAACATTTCTCCTTTCCTCATGCAGAGTGCCTTGGAGGTATATAAGGAGATGGTGCTGCTGTACGTAGAGGAGGCTCGGCGCTTCGTGAATTCTCAGTGTGCTGGTCTGGAGCCATGGCAGATCATTGCGACCACTTTGCTGTCCACATTTGGTGCGGTGTGGCTAAAGGGCTTCCTTTTCCAACCAGAGAGTAAGTGCTATTCACTCAGGGTTTTTTTTGTTTGTTTAAAACAAAATGTTTTTAAACATGTTGTCAGATTTGCGCTATCATTCATAAGTTTGAGATCGGTACAATTGTTTTGCATTTTTTTGAGAGAAGTTTCTTTAAGGCTCATCAAGACTTCATTTATTTGATAAAAACAAAGTAAAACAGTAATATTGTGAAAGATCAATACTATTTAATATAACTATTTTTAAACGGCGCTTGCGGCGACCCAAGTTCAATTCCCGTCTCGTGATCCCATTCTCTCTGCCCAATGCTTTCCTGTAACCTCTTTACTGTCCTATCACATTAAAAGCCCATAAATATAACTTAAAAGAAGAAAGAAATTTTTATTTATTTATTTATTTGGTCTGAATACTTTCCGTACCCACTGTATATATATATATGTATATGCATGTATATGTATGTATGTAATCTATTCAGTCATTACTCGATTACTTCAGAAATCATTCTAATATACTGATTTGTTGCTTAAGAAGATCAATGTTGAAAACAGTTGTGCTGCTCAATATTTTTTGTGGAAACCATGATACATTTTTTTTTCAGGATGCTTTGAGTAGAATGTTCAAAAGAAAAGCATTTATTTGAAATAGAAATCTTTTGTTAAAATATACACATCTTTACTGTAACTTTTGATCATTTAATTTGATAATTTAAATGCATCCCTGCTGAATAAAAGTAATAATTTCTTGAAAGAAAAAAAAAACAGTTGTTTTTAAATGGTAGTGTAATCTTGAAGAAATCTTTCCATGAGTCAAGAGAGAAAAATATAATGTATTTGTTGGAAAAGTATAATGGTTGATTTTATCAACCGTCTTTTCACAGTCATAAGCTAATGTTTTCTTTTCCACCATGAAACAATATGAAACCTAGCATAATGTTGCAAACTAATTGCAAATAAATCGTGACGTTGTTCTTTTCTTGCTATTCATCAGTCAGGAAGTCTTAAAACAAAGTTGCAAAATGTCAAGGCCACTTGAACAATAACAAAGTCTGTGGCACTTGTAAGCTTCATTTGCTACCGGTGACCTAGACTCCATTTTTTTTTGTTTGTTTTTTTTTAATTTATCGTTGCATGTTATGGTTGAGTCATCATCCAGAAACAGTGGTTTCACATGACCTGAGGGAGAAAAACCAAACATTTAGACTGAGGTCTCTCATTTGTTTAATTTTATATGGCAAACTTTAGATTTTGTACATTTCTCTCAGTTGAAAATAAAAGATTGTTTGAAATGCTCAAGCCGTCTTATGGCTTGAATGTTTTTTACAGCAACTCAAATTTAGAAAAATGTCTTGCCGTAGAGACATTTCATGTCACGTCTTCACCGCAGTTTGCTCATTGTGTCGTGTTTTTTTTAGGTCTGACGTCAAGGGTAAAGAAGCAGTTCTTTAAAATCATCAGAAAAATCCCATTTATCGGAGCAACAGTAAGCATCAAGTTTTCTACTTACCTTTCTTCCTTCAGACTTCTCTTTCTGACTCACTGGTCGATGATTAAGTCACCACTGTCATGCTGAAGAGGAAATTAAGCCTTTAACACACTTTCACATTATGGCCCTGTGATTATTCCAGGGTTTACGTTGTGTCATTAACCTGAACAGAGCGCGCAACATGTCTGGTTCAAGTCAGAACCAACTGCAGGTTGATTTTAATCTCTCTTGTCTTACAATATTTATTAGAATGCAACTAACCATCTTAACATTACAAATTACAACCTAAACACCCATTAGAACAGGGGATCTTTTTGACTTAAAGACCTCCATTGTGCAACACAATATTCAAAAGCTGCTCATATAAGCTATAATATTTTCTCTGGTATGTTCTGTAATTGTTAAAGTTGCTTGTTTTAAAACCTTTTTGCAATATAGTTTTAAATTAATAAAAAAAAGAATAAGAAGAAAATACTCATTTTACACCATGATGTGTTTTTAGCGTTTTAATCAAGTTGGATTATTTTTAAATAATTTAAATGGAAGTCATCCTGCAGCTACCTTAGAAGTTTGCGAAGGCCCCCTAGTGGGCCCAGAACCAATGATTGAGAATCACTGCCTTAGAACATTTGTAGTCATTAAAAGATGCAAATGGATGAATAAGTTTTATTATATCAACAATGCAGTAATTAATTGTTTGGATTTTCCCTTCAATTCCTCTGTTCCCTCTACTTTTTGTATTAATTAAATATTCAGAGTTTTTTATGACACTTTTTGTTTTCTCTAATCTTTCCCTCATCAGATTCAAAATCAGCTCAACAAGGCATTGGATGATATGTCAATGAGTCTATGCACGCTGAAGGAAGGCATGAGCTACACCAAACTCCTGCCTGCACAGGGCCTCACCCACAAACAGCTCCTTGACAAGATCAGGGAGTATGAGACACTGAGTGAGTCACCTGCAGCCTGTCCTAACTCCCATCTGTTATAATGGGGAAAAAGCCCAAAGGCTTTGAGGATAAGACAGAACTTTAATTTTCCGCCAGATGTTCTCAGACTGAATTTGCCCTACAGTGTGGGTGCACTTTCTTCGTAAGCAAGTTTGTTTACTAGGGTATAGGGATGAGTCACGATTTTCGAATATTCGATTAGTTGATTTAATTATAAAATATCGAATAGGTTGTGCGATTAGTGTCTTAAAAACTTCCCCATCTTTTCCGTGGTGATGCATTCACGTGGCGCTGCCAATAACGCACCTAAAAGCAGTCAAAGACAACAGAAGATTTTCTCACGCACACACTGTAGACTTGCGTGGCATAAAAAAAGACTTTCGTAGCATATAATGGTTACAGTAACTTGGGACGATGTCAAATAAAAGAGTGCTGTGCGGACCATAAACACCCCCGGACTGGGTTAGAGGTGTGTCTGAATCCGTATTCAGAAAGGCGCGGTAAACAAATAACACGTTCTACGGAGCCACTAAAGGGACATGGTTAGCCGCTTGCTA